CCTGGTCCCATTCCCATACCCATGGGTTGGTGTTGGGGTTGGGGTTGGTTCATACCTCCATAGCCACCAACACCCATCCCCCCACCCATGGGCATGCCGGAGCCTACCATTGGATTAGGCGGAGGTCTCATAGCTGTTACACCAGTACGTCCTAAGCCAGTGCCTGATCCCATGGCTTTACCCATGTTGATAGTCGATGTGGCTGGTGTGTTTGTCTGTTTCTCTAACCGTTTCTCTCTTCTGTTGATCGCCTCGAAGTCAACTCCTATGTCTGCCAATGGATTTGTTTTAGCTGCACACAAGTAGAAAAGAAGAAACGATGTCAGAAACTTTGCTGGAAACCGCGACTTTTTTTTCACATGTAGTGAAATCTATCTTACGTCCAGATATGTTAAAGTTAACAAGCCCCCTGCTCAACGTGTCTGCCCAGACTGATGATTTTGGCTCAAACTTTTTCTGAGGCTGAGGAACAATCTCAATCGCTCCTGTTAAAGGTGTGAGATCTGGATGAGATGAGGATGACGTCAAGGTACTTGTTGGTCCAGCTTGTGAAAACATGTCTCCCATGAAATTGTTGTTCCCTTGCAGAGTAACTGGCCCGGATTGAGTTCGTTGTGGACCATGGGAAGGCGACATTCCATGACCCTGGTGTGGCATGAACTGACCAGCTGGTCCATTGGGGTTAGAGTAAGGATTTTGTGAGCTTGATGACGTGGCAGCGATAGGCTGTGAAGTTACTGCTCCAGGAATGTAACTGGCTGAGCCTGGCTGGTGCATGAAGCCTCCACTGTGAAATGGCGTGGCTCCAGTCATATTTTGTGAATGAGGAACCATGTTATATGGCTGTACAGCTTGCCCAAATGGAGTTTGTCCAGGCATGTTTGGAGCTGTAGATACCGGCTGAGGTTGAAAGCCCTCGTACATGTTTCCACTGGGAGGAAACTGAGACGCTGGTACTGTGGTACCCGATTGTTGAGGGAGTGAAACTGGTGGTCCAGATGGTGGGAGAATACCAGCAAGAATATCAATATCACTCGGAGCTGAAGCAAACTGTTCTTGAGGAAAACCTGATGAGTTTGATGGAGGTTGCACATTCTGAGCGGTAGGATCAGGATTGGCAACAGCGGAAAATGAGTCCCCAAAGCCAAAGTTATGAGCAGTATTAGGATGTGAGGCTTCTGAGCCGAAGGCTGGTGGTGTTGGCTGAGAAGAAGCTCCAAAGCTCTGCTGCGGGTTTGAGTCCGTAGAAGTGAAGGCTTTGAAAGGAGAGTCACCAAATGGGTCATCAAATGTCTGTTCAATGGGGGGAAATTTTAATCAGCAATAATCGAAATGTTATAAAGAGAAGAAAACAAAAAAAAAGGCATCCTCATAAGAAACAATCAAAATCTTCAAGTACAACTGCTTGAGCCCTGTGTCAATACCTGAGTTGATGGCTGAGATGTAGAAAACGATGGAGCGTTTGCTTGTCCATTGGTTTCAACGTAGGGAGAATCAGCCGGTACAATGGCCAATGCATTTGATGAAAATACGTCTGCAAGGGAGCCAAGCAAGTCCATCTCAACACTGTTTGAGGCGGGAGGAGCAGACGTAGAAGCCACTGTTGGAGGAGCTGAAACACCATCGGTAGATGCATATGCTGGAGGGGCAGCTGAAAAAGAAACAAAACAAAACACAACGCTCACACTCAGAACAAACAGAGTTTGATGGAATAACAATATAACAAACCGAATTAACAATGGAAAATAATCTCTATGGAGCAGAGGAGTTTGAAAGGCAAAGAAAAACTAAAGAAAATTCCAAAGATGTAACAAACTACGAACTAAAGAATCACATACTTCGAGAACTCTTTACCTGAAAACGCGCCACGTGGATCAAATTCATCAAAAGTCTCAAATTTCTGAGGAGATGATTCATTTACAAGACCAGCAGCTTTATTGTCAGTGTTGCTTCCAGAAGGAGGAGAAGCAGCCCTTGGAGCAGCAACTTGTGAGGGAGGAGGAGAAGCAATTCCTGGAGCAGCAACTTGTGGGAGAGGAGGGGAAGCAGCTCCTGGAGCAGTAACTTGTGGGGTCTCTCCACCATCCCTGGCATAAAAAGATTCATCAGAACCAATAAAACCAAGGTAGATCTCAATCTGCATAGCAGAGAATTATCACCTTTCACTATATACAGGGCTGCGTGATTCACTGACAGCTTCTTCATAACTGGGTGGTGCACCAATATTTTGTTCAGAAAATTTCCTCTGGAGCCCTCTATCATATAATCCCAAAAGAATGTGGTATGAGTTGACATGAGTCCACAAAACTTAAAACAATAAGAAAAGGCCCAAACTTCAGCAGAAAATACAACAGAAATTACCTCCCATCTTGAGAATTATCATCAGCTCGAGCACCACTACCCCTACACGATAAAGAAGAATGTTTAATTGTATAAGTGGAACTAGGCTAAGAAGATGCTCGAAACATGCTTTTTGGCATCAAGGACAGCTAAGCCACTATTCAAAATCAAATATCCCATCCAACGGTGTTGATAAATCCTCAAAATTGTTCCTTTCTTTTTTAGTTCAAATCTAAAGGCGAGTTAAAACTTCATATCAACATACCGTGATGAAGTATGGCCATCATCCTCAAATGTCCGTTCTCTGTCCGAACTCCTACCTCGTGACCCATATTGGTAGTTATCAACACTTCTGCTCCTTCCTCTGTAATCATCATCTCTGCTACCATCTCTCCCATACCGGTCTTCAGAGTCTCTGGAATGACGATCTCCATCACGACTATTTCTATCATCATATTCTCTTTCCCTTCCATAACTACTTCGCTCTTCATCACGGGATCCGTAATCATATCTGTCCCCATATCCTCCTGAAGGCTTATACATCCCACCCGGTGAGCTGCGATACCTGTTGTAAAAATAATGTCAGGTTGATATGTTCAGCTCCTGAAGCCAATTTTGAATGAACCCAAAGACATATAATTTCTCATCGCTAGGGATTAAAAACTCTAAAAAGACAGAAAGTAACCCTGTTAAATACCATAACTACAAATTGATAAAGACTACTAGGAGCCATAATAACAGTTGTAAGGCCATTAGCAACCAAAAATTAAACAGGTGTCCAGCAATACTACCGCAGAGAAGAGAGGAAACTATCCAACAATTTTAAAAGATGTAAAGACAAGCAAACTTACTTATCTCTGTTAGCAGAAGCCTTCTGTCTGACCTCAGCTATTCTTTCTTTGTCATTAACCAACGCCACCAGGCTCTGTGATTTCTTCCTAACATTGCTTCCTTGATCTCTACCACCGGAATCAATATACTGAAAATCAGACAATGTCTGCCACATGGAAAATGGACATAATGTAAGATAGTCAACCCCTGATATATAGCACAAAAGGATTCTCTTGATGCTGGATAATTCCAAAATAATTTATTCTGTGTGGTCATTACCGAAATTTGATATGCACGTTCTTTAATCTCGTCTACAACACGTTCTGACCCATGGCCTACCATGTACTCCAAAACTGTCAAAGCCTGAAGTGGAAAGAAGAGGTAAACCAACAGGACATAGTTTCATTCACTGCTACAGCAATATAAACAGGAAATAAGCCAGCAAGGCACTTATATTTTGTACCTTATAGACATGCCGCCAATTTTTTCCAGTGTCGCTAAGGCGTTTCCATATGACCCCCATAATCAGCTGGTATTCATGGCTGCAAGAGAAGTAACATTTCTGTCATTCATGTGAAATGTCATAATTACAGCAAAATTTAGCACTTGTAAGGTGGTTGTAGTTACTAGTTTCTCGAAGCTTGCGCAAGATCCGCAAGAAGAGATCCATGTGGACCCCATGGCTCATTGCTAGTAGCATCTAGAACCTGAAGAGGAAATAGGAAAGGTTAGAAACAACATGAAACTATGTTGGAAAAACTTGCTTTAAATTCCATAACCAGATTAGGAAGAATACTGGTGACATTGATCAACTCAACCATGATCAGATCAGAAAACAGCACCTAAAACTCGGTTTCATCAGAATTCCAATAAAAAAAAAGAAACAGAGAAGAAGCTAAGAGCATCATTTACCTTCTGTTCTATTCCAGGCACTTTGAGCACTTTCTTGTTGACCTCTCTCTTGCTAAACAAATATAAAATCAAAAATAAATAAACCACACACCGATTGACCTTTGAGAATATCATCTAATTTCAGGCACTGTAAATCTTACAGGTCTCTAACAGTTTGACCGAAGACTTTCTTCATCTTCGTCTGTGTTCCACGAACTCTCTCTTAAACAAATGCGTAAATCAATGCCCTCTATGAAGTCAGTTGCAAAAACTCGTAAGAGCACCTTCGCTGTTAACTGTTCCAAGCAAACTTTCAATCACAATGAATCATTCTTCAGCATAACCTCACATTTCAACATGTAACCATCACAGTTCGAGTTTAAATGCAAGTTCATAGAAGAATAAACCCAACAAAACAACCCGTAAGAGCAAAATGACATGACCATGATCAAAATTTTTTCATCGTTCAGATTCTAAAGGAAGTGACAAAAAAGCGCACCTCGCAACAACAAGTTTTGCTAATTTGTGCAACAATCAAACGAATAAAAGAACAAGTCAAATCAAAATCCGGGTCCTAAGCAGACTCAATTTCAGATTGTAACAATCAAAATCGATCAAATACGAAGATTAACATTCAAAATGCAGTATTCAAAGAACAATTCATCCCTAATGAAATAGCTAAGTCGAGAGAATCACATCACATCACAACAACCAAAAGCTAGTTCGAAAAAGAAAAAAAAAGGAAACATGGATCTAATGGAATCGAAACAAAAACCTAAAATCAATAGACGTAAACATGAATCAGTTCTTAAGAACAGCTAGATCGTACCTACGGAAATGTAAAACTTGACCAGAATCGGATCGTGGATCTGCGAGATACAGAGAAGACGAAGAAGAATATAGATAGAGCAAAATCTCTTTGAAGCTTTGTGA